TTCACCGTCTTAGAATTTCATTTTTTTTCTTTTGAAAAAATGAGATTTGCATTGTTTTCCAATTAGACAAATGAGTAAACATGAATAGCTCGAAATCTAACGGTGAGATTTTCTTTTAAAAAATCATGGATATCAAGGCTAAATATAGCTATACAATAAACATAAAAAAGCAATGCTTGGACTCTTCATATTCACACAAAAAATTAATTAGTAAATGAGGTTTGATATTTGTGAGAATAAGTTGGACGAGTCGCAATGCTCTACAAACACCAGACTACAGGGTGGATTAGGATCAATGACACACATAAAAATTAATTAAAAAATATTTCATGATAATTATCTCAAACAAAAGCAGTTAGCGAAGGATACATTTCATTACACTCAATAAATAGTTATCACTTTTGACTATATATACATATTTCATGGGAATGTATTTCCATCTGCTCAAGATATCATATTTTAGCTTCGAAAATCACAATCGTTGGATAATACATCTGTCTCAGAATGATAGGCCACCCTGTAGCAATGTAGCTTTCACTTGAAGTGTACCCTTGAGAATAATGAACTTACTTTCAAATTGGTCTTGCTTTTGTGGTGTATGTGGCTTTTTAGCAAATCTGCCACGCTCATTTCTTTCCAGAACCATCTTGTTCACATGTAACACTAGGCTATACGCGCATGTATAGACAGATGACATAGATATACATATAAATTATATATTGCACCTGTATTTACTTACATGGGAATATTCCCTTTGGAAAAATGCAAATGCATGAACATATATTTTCATCTTATATATGACTTCAAGCTAACATATTATTTCATATTTATATTTTCATAGTTAGTCTAACATAAATAATAGATCCATGAGAACAATATTCTTTGTTTTCTTAAAAATTGATGGGTTTACTGTGAATTCAATAAATTACAATTTGCAAGGGGTAAGTATACTGTATGACCTTAGTTGCAAAGTACTGTTTATATATGCAGCTCAATAGCATAAAATATGTTGAATGAAGCATATGGTATGGATTAGTCGTGTGACACACAAACTGACCAATACATGAGGGTATTAGCTACTTTTCACAGAAACCAAAGGAGGACAGTGCTTTTATTTCAACTGGGAGCTTACCTCCACACGACTGATCATGTGACCATGGTGTTGGGTCCCTTTAACGTCAACATTTACGAGGGTTGTCCCAGAGGTAATGCACTTTTTATGTGTTGAATATGTCCCGATTGCAATGTATGAATTAATGCATTGATTTTCTGTTAATATCTACATTGGCTTTTGGTAGATTATTTACTTGTCGCCATGTCTTTGTGTTAGTTTTGTTTGGAAAGTGACTGGGAAAGGGGTGCAATGTACGGATCATGTGACTGTCTAACCATCAACATTTACTTTTCTGGAGAATTATTACTACACGATGGCAAAGTATGATATTTTGTTTAATGGCGATAACTAGGGAGGGGTGTCTAAACATCTGCGTTTGCTTTTCTCCTTACTGCAATCATGGACTGCATTTTCTTTCATATTGAGTAGAAATAACAATTTTCATATTTATTAAATACAATACGTAAAAGGCATATTTACACACTTAAAAATGTCATTCATTCTTTAAATAAGTGAATTCACTAAGTACATAATGAACTGAACTGACGATTCCAATAGGAACCGTCTGGGCTATTGATTTTTTATTCGTATCGCACGCAAGAGGAAGTGAATTTACTTTTTAGATATACATGTAAGTGATAACAACGACTCGGGCGTTTACGTAGGGCATACAACAAGATATCCTCATGTGACACATTGACGAGAAAGAGGACTGACATTTATCAAGGTAGGCTTAATATGAACGACACGGTAAACGTTCCTCTACAAACATGTTATATCGTCATGGTAGAAACGATCGAAATCTTCAATTTACTCAGTGATCTGGTCCCTTATTTATCCACAGTTATATCATATTCTGCAGGGCGAAATCTCAGTGATCATTTGTTCCTGAATTACATGTATCTCATAAATTATGCCGTTTAGATTCTGAGAGAATAAAATATGTTTTTTATGGGTTTCCACTTTTCACAATGTTGTAATGGTTACCATCTCATATATTTAGATAGCGCCACTTGTTTCTGGCGGCCATATTGCTTATTCATATTGATTTGTAATTTCTACCATTTTACGATAAGCATTCGTAACAGACAAAGATCAAATCGAATACAACCCGCAGATAAAGCTTGCATGAGGTTCTAGTTCTGATAAGCTCAGTCTAATATGTTTAGAAAGGTTGCCTGGGATAATTGGACGAGGAATTTTGCATATTCACCTATTCAAGTTTGGATCAAAACGAAACTGAATTGAGTGAGACGTTTCAACCCTAGCAATCCTCGATGCAACAGGCCAGTATCCCATATTTGCCTTGTTTGTTATAATGTAAGATTAATGTAAGCGTGGAATGTCAATTACACCTCGACGTACAAAACTTAAATGTGATCAAAGTTCAGATCAAAACATCGCATTGCAGATACCGATCACGTTTACCTTTTCGCAGAAGTTGGGATGTAAATGGTGAAGAATAACAATGGCCACGTGGAAAGATTCAAGTTCAGGTATGTACACGTACAGTACTGTTTTTGCGTATAGTATTATTCATTTGTCACTATTCATTTGTCAATATTTTGTCTGCAAGTGTTTATTAAATCATGTTCTTTGTATCGTCTCGTAATATCAAGTGGTTGTGTCAGTAGATTTTAAAGGTCAAAAGTCGAAAGTACGGTCAATTTTCACAGCCTTCGCCTCCAAAAGCTATCCATTCATCTGATACATGAGGGGTGATCATACAATTTTTATAATATATCTCGTATGTCTTTATTTTCCAACATATACCGTATTGACATTTTCACTGAATGTGAAAACATTAATCCAGCAACAATATTAGGTGAAACAGAATTATTTATCGAGAAATAGTTGTTATACTAATTCATGGGACTCGGGGCAAATGAAGAATTAAAAGAATTACCCATTCATCCATGTTTGAATACATTAATATAAGTCGGCAAATGAGCTACCAAATACATTAGATTATTAGAATATTAAGTGCCGTTCACTTTTTACCATTCTAATGACTTTGTGAATAATGGAATGTTTGATATGTGATGTTAAAAATGTTTTACCTCCAGGGGAAAATTCCTCTTTGTTGTTTTATATTATAATTACCAAACTTTAACAATTTTTCATCATTATAACTCTTTTCTGGGATCCCTGCATCTATTGCATTTTTGTCAGGGATTTGATTGTGAGTCCCTGAGTTTGTTATCACATCTAACCAAGCATATACACATACCCTATGACTTAAAACAATTCGTATGATTATTTTGAAATAATTTAAAACAGTTCACAACCAAATTATCATATTTAAATGTATTTGATAGCTTTTTCAATTAATATCATATTGTATTTCTGAAGATGATTAATGGGAGTCATTCTTTATATTTTATTTGCCCTGGGTTCCCTGATTTCTAGTTTCTATGACTGTCATTCCTAGATAAATGAGCCAGGCCATAGGAAAGAGGGTCTTATCTCAGATTTTTGGGTTATCTTTAAAAGCATCTAGAGACCTTTCAAATGAGCCATGGCTCACGTCGTCTTAACAATTTTTCCCTGCAGATATAGATCAAAAAGACGGATTTGAAATTAGCACATTTTCCTCTTAATCTTGGGCACATTTTTGGCTCTGTCGCACAATCTTAATTTTTGTGATAATACATCTTCGTTCACTCGGCTCCCGTCGGTCGATGAACGCAGTGAAGACCGAGCGTGCGAAGATGGTGATGGTGATGGTGATATTTTGTCGGCTGTGAAGTACAATGTAGCTTTAATGAAAGAATCAACTGAAGTTAACAAATGTAAGGCTTCATAACATTGTGTCTCCTTTTTTCGTCTACATTCTCTAGGAGTGAGATGGTTCATGAGATATGAAACCTAAAATCACTGGAGCTAGGATAAAATGTATCAAATGTTCGAAGACTTCAAAGATACAAGCGAAACTCAAATTGTTCAATCCGCTTATTTGTTATTATTATCCATGGTTGTAATTAAGTCAAATTCTGTTTTCGATTATGATAAACAAACAGAATGAGATGTTTTTATTTTCGTCAAAATGTGAGGAAATGCCACAAAAACATGAAACCTAAAATCACGACTGTGCGACGGATGCATTAAATTATCTGCTTGGGCATGATATTGCATGCTCAATTATTAGAACAAATGCCCTCATCAGCCTTTCTCCCATGCCTCTTTGGATTTCTTTCAGGAATATAATAAACATGGTTGATATCATTGCACAGTATATCAGACTCCTATCGAAACAAATCGAATACCGATATAGTTTTTTGCCTAAATTTATCTGCTTTGTAGCCTGCTGTTGCCCTTGTCATGCCCTTTCTCTCAAAATCTCCCTTTAGTATGAAAATAAATAACATACTCATTTGGTCTCTATTTACATGTACATGCAACATTATATTTACATTTATATACAGTAGAATACATAGGCAAAATGCATCAGCTGGTAACAACAAACAATCATTTATTATAATATATTGCTGATTTGGGATGAACACCTGCTAAAAGTGTTACCTACAAGTATGATATTACAAACGAATAAAATAAAAAACATACAAACAAGCAAGCAAAAAACAAACGAACGAACAAACAATGTCCAAGTCCTTTCACAACGACAATAACACGATAATAATTACTATTATCATGATTTTCATGAAAACTTCATACTTCAGAAATTCAAGATGAAAAAGATACTAACATAATGCATTTACATTTTGAACAGATGAAATTTATGACGGGACACTGCGTTTCATTGGAGAAAGGTTGGTTGAAGATGTTAGGAAAGTGGGTGTCCTTCTCGGGCTCACATCAGCAGAGATTGACAACATAAAGAGGAGTAATCCACATGATGAGGAACAATGGGGAGTCAAAATGCTGTTAAGCTGGAAGCAGAGACAACCTGAGGATGTCAACCAATGGAAAGTACTGGATGATGCCCTCAGAATGGCAGGAAGAAGAGATCTTGCTCGTCTTACAGGTAACAGATGTTAACCTTATAACAGTAAATGGTTTAGGTCGTTAAGAGAATGATAGTATACAAATTCAATGTCAATGACTTGTCTAGAGCTGGTTGTAAAAAGTAACAAATCTTAATGAAATAACGGTAAAACGTGAATGGCTCAATACGATAATGACATGAGTAGGTGCATTCAATGTTGATGACTTGTCTTGGACTATTCCATACGGTCCGTAATTCCATGCAGTGTAAATGTTGGAAAATCAAACGTAAAATGACAAGTTGTGGATATCATTGTCAAAACATAAAACATATCATGTTGTGAATCTATATATTATGTTGAATATGTACGAGTATCCATATGGGTTGAGAACAAATGCCTAATTTAATTTTCAATAAGTTGATGAAATGTAAATAAAAGAACGCTAGTTTTGGGGGTCCATATTAACAGAGATTAAGATTCAAATGAAATACTCAGGTATTCGTCGAAAACATTTTAATAAGGAGGAATGTATCTCAATAAGGCATAGATGCAAGCTAAAGTTAATTAGTTATATGAAAATGTAAGCAATTTTAGAACCAAATGTTTTGTATTATGTCCCATGATTTGCTCCGTAATTATACAATTTTGAGCACAACTGACAACATATCCTGGTAATATTGGCCAGAATAGTTTTTCAGTTATAATTACGTTTTGTTGACGCCCCTTTAGGTATATTAAAGTATTGTTGTAATTCAACAAAAGATCATGATTAATTCAGGAGAGAGATGGCTAAATGTTTTGCGCTTCCCCATTTATAGATCATATTCAAAATGCTCCCTTAATTCATCAAAGTAAGTTTACATAGTGAGATAACAAGATGCCAGACTTCTCATATGTCACTCAATCATTTTATTTATTCAACAATCATATAATTTACATGACCAGGATAAAAGTTGACATTGCGGGAATAACACTAAGCATAATGAATTGTGTCTAAAGTTTAGTAAAAGGGTAGAGCTATGCGTGAAAAGTTCGATAAACATATCTTTATATTCTTCTTGAAAATAATAATATCTACATAGCGCCAATAAGAACACCCCCTCAGATTGTCTGAAAAATTGTGGTGATAAGAAGAAAAGTACAGCTCTCAAAACTGTTTCTCCATTTTTTTCAATACATAGGAAAACATTCTTCATTCTTATGTTCCTTCCCTTTCCATTATTAGGTACATTTTCTTGAGACATCAAAATATCTGTTCAGCAATCTTTCCCTTACCAGTGGTAAGTTACCACTATTTTTGACTATTTTAAGCCACATTTGTGAAAGAAATGATGGTCCCCCAGGGATTATGGTCCCCTTTCTTAACGGCCCTTACTGGCACTGAATGCGAATAAGATAATGAGGGAAAGAGTTGTATTTAGGTCACCATATAAATTGTAACAGCTCCGGTCTTAATCCCGAAACTGCCACGTACGGGCTGCCCAATCAATCAATTAATCAATACTACAACAAAGCAACCCGTACAAACAAACAAACAAACTGGACCGAACGAGCGAACAAATGGTAGCGTGGTAAGCTGAACGGCCATGGCAACGTAGTGAATCAAATTTGAGCTGAAAGTGATTGATAGCTTGACTATATATGCAAGGTGCTGCCATCTTTGAATAAAGATAAAAGTTGAAAACACTAATTGAACAAGAATGATTTGGAACAGAATGAAGAAATGAAGTTATCAGAAAGTTAATCATAGGGCCATTTTACTGTTATTCCATCTAAACCATCGATCAATGACTACAAACAATCAACACGACAAATCAAGTAAAGTTTCAAAGTTCTATTATAAACAAATAATTAGATCTGACCCTACATCAGTCTCATCAAATATAAATCAATGCAAATTACATGGCTCTAAACGCAAAATCTGACCCTAGTCGAACCTGACAAATAACAAACAAATTACAAAAATCTTAACTAAGATGGCGACTATATTTCAGCCCTCATGATCAAAACAACATCGAGCTTAAGTAAAGCGATTGTCAAAAGGTGGCGCTTTGTAAATTCTCACCTGCGCATACCCTGCGTGCAGAGTCTAGTTAAACTCATTTAGTACTAAAATTTACTGAAAAGGTGTACGCACTAAAATTTTAGTACTCGGCATATCTCCTTGTGAACTGTGGAAAGATCTTCTTCCAAGACGAAGTTTTGGAGATCTATACTAACATAAAGATCAAAATTAAATGTGTAATTCTAAGATATTCGTCAAAATAAAGACCGTCAGATTGTAGCATAGAATATCATATTAATTGCCATATAGCGGGGTGCTGTGGGCCTTTGAAACTATGTTAAAACCACGACGGAGACCATTTAGTACATGATTAACTAACCCCGTTTGGTTGTGAAATAAGGCATAATTCAAACAAAGAAAAGTTAATGGGCTTTGTCGGGAAAGTATTGGTAATAGTTGAATTTGGAACGAAAATTCTGATGTCTTGGGCTTTGGAAAGATGAGCTGGAAGATGGGGTCTGTGACACGGGTTTGTTAGGTCTGGTCACTGAGATGCTTGTGTTATGATCGATCCAGAATGTTGTGGGGGGGGGGCTTTGCATCCTGGGAAGCTACAGGTATGTTGTCTCCTGCCCAGGCATGGGTTGGTGCATTTTCCGTTGTTGAAATCCCGACAAATGATCATAGGTCGGTTAATACTGGGATCTGAAGTAGGGGGAGGATGGTTAATCGCCGACTAGTTGTTCCTGATATATTTGTAGGGGTTCAAGTTTGATGATTAATTGAAAATAAATTGCCGAAATTCATTGTCATATCCAATCCATGCTGACGGGTTGTAAGCTTCTGCCTTGTCGGCGATAAATCGCATGTACTTGGCGAGGGATGGGGCTTGTGTTGGGTGGTAATACGATCTAGTGCAACAAATGCAGAGAAGCATCTCACCCACATCTCGAATGAGTGAATCTCCTTCTTTGGTTTTATGGCCTCCATCTGCATGCAGCCCTCCTCGTTGTTATAATTGCACTGGTGGTACTCGTGTGAAGCAGCTTTTAGACTATTTTAGCGTGTTCGGCTGATATTCGTTTAGGTCAACGAATCTCGTAATGTCAGCAGCGATATTGAGCGCCTTTTTTTAGATCAGTGGAAGTCTCAGAATGGAGGGAGCCGGTTGGTGTCCCTTGCTTGCTGGAGGCTCTGTCGGCTCTAAGGCACGTAACTTTGATTGTGAAGAGCCGGGATTTGGCATAATCGGGAGGCTTGCTTCGGAGAGAGCGTATGAAGTCCTGTGTGTCTTGTTGTTCTGCGACTTGGTGAGAATTGTTTCTCGAACGAGAGTCATTTAGGAACGATTCGAAGAGACTTCAGGTCATCCTTGTTGTTGCTGAAGCCTTCTTAGCGGCGGGGACTTTCCTTGAATGGCTTCGTTTGATTCCTTCACCTCGTCCAGACATGATATCCTATTTTGTCTTTAAAATCGCCTAACAGTGAAAACTTAGACGGTTTTGTATGAAGTGAAGACGCTTGTATGTTGTGTGTTGACTGGCTCATCGAAATCAAGAACTAGAACGTGTTGTAATGTGGGCGAATTGATAATGGATGTCCAAAAGGCGTAACATTAATGGTCGATTGACCAATCCCATTAACCGAGTTTTTATATTACCAGATGATTGTTCAAATTTATATCTGTAATGAAGTTTTTCTGCATGTCGAATAGTTTGCCTTAGAATGCGTTTATACTTTTTGTAAGATTCAAGCTTATCTTGTGTAGGGTGCTTTATGTAATTAATGTAAAGTTTATTTTTAAATTTTATAGAGGTCAAAATTCCTTCTGTCAGCCAAGGTTTTTTGTTGTTGTAGTAATATTTAATATATTTAGTAGTTACCGGGAAGCATTCATTATAAAGACTTTGAATTTTTTCAATAAAATATGCATAGCCTAAATTGACATCATCAAATTCATATAGCTGGGAAAAGTCAAGTTCAGAGAGGCGTGATTTAAAGGTAATATGATTTTTGTTTTTCATTTGGCGAAAAGAAATGCGTTTGCTCACTTTCTTATTAATAGGTAAGTCAGTCGTTACATATATAGGAAAGTGGTCAGAAATATCAGTTAAAATTATACCGGATTGACTGGCCTTAAGAGAATTGGTAAAAATATTATCTATCAAGGAAGCTGTTTGTGTAGTAACTCGTGTTGGTTTGAAAATGGTTGGATATAAGTTAAAAGAGTATAATATATTCACAAAGTTAGCAGTCTCTTCATGATCAGTGTTAAGTATGTTTATATTAAAGTCTCCCATCAAAAATATTTCTTTATTTTCCTTGGTCATTATATTCAGAAATTGTGTAAGGTCTTTGTTAAATTGGCTAATATCAACATCAGGGGGTTTATAGATAACTGAAACTAATATGTTTTTGTCATTTAACTGCTCAATTTCAACTGTAAGTGCTTGGGTATCATAGTCATTTTCAATTATTAGATCTGGTCTCAGCTTGTACTTAATGATATCGCGAATAAATATACCTACCCCTCCACCGATTCGATCCTGTCTTGAAACAAATTCAGAATAAAAGCCATTCATTAAAAAATTTTGTTCATCATTTTCTTTGAGCCATGTTTCTGTAATTCCAAGAATGTCAATTTGATTATTCAGTATCTCATTTAAATTAACAACTTTTGAAAAATTATGTGATAGGCTTCTTGCATTAATGCAACCAAAATTCATTGACACATTATGTTGTGATTGAAGTTTCGAATTTAATGATTCTGGGTATAAGTATTTGCATGATTGCATAATAGATTGGTTCACAATATCTTGTTCAGTCAATTCATTGTATTCCTTATTCAATTGTGTTGTTCTTGGATCAAAAAGCAAATGTTCATAATTATTTACATCTATAGTATCATCTAAATAATTAGCAAAAGGAAGTTCCATCTATAAATTCATGCCATTGTTATCAGCGGTTATAATGTTGTTCAATTAGGTAAAAATGTGTAGGTTCACCATAAATGTTCATATTTGTGATAATGAAACATGTCAGTTCATTTAATAAGATACCAGTCATTAACTGGACATTGACTGGGGAAAAAGTTAAAGGAGCAAGCACTGTCATAACATGATTGCAAACATACATCATATTATAATCCCAAAGATCATTCAAAACAGGACTAATATAGTATTTACAGATATATACAGATATTTTCCAGATTAAAATATATTTACATGGATATGCATTACATTACCCATCAAATCAGATCAAATCAAATCAAATGAACTTATGAGGGATAATTGGATAATTGCTCATTGATTAATTTTGAAATCACTCAAATCAGCCTTCAAAATAAAGTCTGATGAGTTCTGAAATCACTCATTATATTGTTTACCAAATAGGATTTTGGAATAAGCTTCCAAAATAAATCTGATGAGTACTGTTATAATCACTCAGTATATCCTCTACCTATTAAGCGAGAGTAAATCAAGAGAAACATAGCTACATGTATGCTTAGCACACCTAAACAAAGATTACGCTAGTTGATCACTTATGTATAAACATGTCAATTGAATGGTGAAATCAGATTTCAAAAATAAAATCTGATGAGTACCGTAATCACTCAAAATATCGTTTACCAAATAAGTAAATCAAAAGAAACTTAGGTATGCTTAGCACAACCAATCAAAAGATAAAGTGAGTTGAGTCACTTTAATTCAATAGAATAACTCTGATTTATTTAACTTTTACTAATTTACTGATGAGTGAGACTGTAGATTACCAAACTATAACAGTATATCAGGAAACATTAAACATGTGAACAAATGAAATTAAGGTTCATCCTTGCATAAATAAGATTGTGTTAAAAAAACACAAGCTTTGTGGAATGCAAAACTAGGATACTCTCAGTATTTCAATTGCAATTCAGTTAATTCCTCATCTGAGTGCATTGGAAATAAAATAGTAGTCTGCCAAACTCAGACTGGGCTTATTAAAAATCAAATTCCATTGAGTGAAATGTTAATATTAGAACCCACATGACTCTGTGGTTAGAATGAATGTGAAAAATGCTAATCCCTAAAAGTGAATAAGGGTATTATGTTTTCTCAGTATTGCAATTCAGTTAATTCCTCATCTTGAGTGCATTGGAAACAAAATAGTAGTCTGCCAAACTCAGGCTGGGCTTATTAAAAATCGAAGTCCATTGAGTGAAATGTTAATATTAAAACCCACATGACTCTGTGGTTAGAATGAATGTGAAAATGCTAATCCCTAAAAGTAAATAAGGGTATTATGTTCAAATCAGATTTCACTAATTGTACAATAACATTATACTGGTATTTACAGGGACCTGTTATTTTGTGCTAACAGGTAAACTCAATTGAAATTCCCAAGCTTGACACAATCCTTCACTTGATTCATATAAGATGCATGGTTATGTTTATTTAAGGGCCCTTTTGACCACTTTGTCATGATAATCACTCCGTTTGTAATCTCCATAGATTTCATCAAATTTAAGATATCACTACCAATGCCCCAAACACCATCATCGCTAAAACCTTCTACAAGTTCGCCAGTATTTCCAGGAACTCGGTACGCATAAGAATGATGACTAGCACGGGCAAGTGATCGAGATTTGTATAATCTTCCAATGACTGTTGCGGCTTGCTTAGTAGTCTTGGCCTTTGCCACGTGGCCCTGTATGGAAGTTCCACTATGACTGATGACATTAGTGTGATTTGTAGAGGTGTCATCAATGTTGGGGTCAAGGTCTGTGATTGGGATTTGTAATGGTTTCTCATCAAAGTGGGGATCTACCTTGACACCTCTCACTTTAAGTGTCGCTTGGTGAAGGGAGACTTCTCTTGGATCTCGACGATTGTCAATGGCTTCAGATTTTAACTTCTTTAACATAGGTATCTGAGCAGATCTGCGATCACGCAGTGTGTCGGGAAGTTGACGTGATACACTAATTCTTGAGCCTTTTAGATTATGTGCATAAGACATGATTTTTTCAACAGCCCTACGATCTGTAAATTTAGCCACCATGGGTATAACACCTTGTCCCTGTCCTATAGGGTGAGCTACGTCTATTTGTATTTGCCAATCAGGACCTGGTTGGCCATCTAAAGGCTTGTGTGGGTGAACAAATTCCTTTGGAATTTTCATATCATTAACAAGGACAGATCTAATTTTACTCACATGTTCATCAATGTCTGGCTTATCTATTCCGTGAAATATCAGATTCATTTTCATCGATCGTACACGAATATCATCTATAGCATCATCGGTCTCATCTTGTTTATGTTCAATTTTCCAAATTCTCCCTTCCATGACCTCAAGGATTTCACGTAAGAATAAATTCTCATTTTTAAGATCATCAACGGTTTTTTTCAAATCCTCAATATTATCATCAGTGTTTTGTACAGTTGTATTTACTTCATCCAATCGGGTCTTTAATTCATTCATTTCATCGCAGTCAGTATTGTCTTTTGAAGATTTTTTCCTGTTCCTGTTTGTCATGCTGCTTTTATTTTATATTTACAAAATGGTCGATCCCTTTTTCTTTGTTTGCAATTACATAAAGTACAGTATAATTTCACTTCCAAATATCAGTGTTTTGGCTTATTTGTTTATATTCAAATTTCACATATCCGTTTAGTATCACTAATAATCCATGTGTTGTAAATATAAGGCGTATACTATAAGTATAACTGTCTAAATATGATATATATTGCCAGCTGAAATTTTAGCTGTCATGCATGTTCTGACTTCTGACCTCGAATTGCTCCATTTCATCAAAGGCAACACATGGTTTACAAATAATGATTATTTGTTTTTCCTGATATCGGTTACATTTTCCTATAACATTGTTCAGAAACTTTACTGTAACACTGCTTTTGACTATTCTGAGTCACATTTTCAAGATGTGATGTAGTTTAATCGCTTATATCAGAGTCCAGAAGAAAGAAGATTGAGCACAAATTAGATACGTATTTGTAATGCTTGTATCTTTTATTTTCGTTCGATCCTTTTAAAAGCTGGTGATTCTAAACATACCTTACCTTTAAATGATCAATCATCATCAGATCCATATGGATCACATACATTCGCTACACAGTCTGCATTTCGAAAACCTACCCCTTTGATCTCATTCTCTCTTACGATTTTTTATCAGATGACTGTTTGCCTTAAATAGTGAATGATTAAACATTTTTTGAAAGAAAAAATAACATTACACTTTCACTTATAGCATACATGTTATTTCACTTATATTAGTCTAAAAACAAACCAACTAATTGGTTAACTCTTGATGGTCTACTTAAAGGGTAAGAAAGAAAAAAGATTGGCCTCGGGAGTTAGTTTTTGCTTTTAGAAACAAAACTTTACATTTATATTTACAAATGACGACATATCCTAATATCATTGCTAAAAAGACCAATAATCTTCTTCAGTTATTATCGCATTTGTATTGTCATCACGGCATCAATCTAATACCTCCTTATGACTTTTGTAATCTAGAGATGGATACCAAAGTCGCAACGATTCCCCCGTCATGTTATAATTCATAATCAAAATGCTCCATTTTATCAAAGGCAACATATGATTCACAAATTGTTCTTCTTTATTGTCTACTTAAGGGGATTTAAAGGGAGATTTTTGCTCTTGTCTTTAGATATCACATCTAAATTGTAATATTTTTTTTATCTTATTTGAACGGATATTGGTTACATTTTTCAGAAAATTCAAAATTATCTGTTCAGAAACCTTTACTGTAACTGTACACCCATTATGACTATTTTCAGCCACATATTCAAGATGTCATGTCGTTTAACTAATTGTTTTTTAATTATTTCAGAGTCCAGAAGTGTGACGGTTCAGTACCTTAGAAAAGGTATGTATTTGCAATGGTTGTATCTTCTACATGTATTGTCGTTCGACCTTTTCAAACTGCTGGTAATTCTAAACATATCTTACTTTTAAATGCTTCATCATCATATGATTCATGAGGAAAAAACATTCACTTCGACAGTCTGCACTTTGAAAACTTACCATTCGATCTCATACTATCTTATGATTTTTTATCATGACTGTTTGCCTAAAATGAGTGGTTGATTAAGAAACTTTTCGAAGAAAAAATAACGTTTGATTTCATGTATAGTAGACTTTTATTTCATCAAATCAAGTAATCTGCTCAAAATGTAGAATGTTCAAATATCAAATATAAATTGACAAGTTGTAGATGTCATGACAAAACACATAAAATATCATGTTGAGATTCTATATATCATGATGAATTTTGAAGACGATAGGAAAGAAGACAGTCACCTTCTTCATGTCGGTTGTCACAACAGTAGTC